AATTATCAAGATTGTCATTCGGTTTGTAACACCTCGAAACATATTTTTTTTTTTTTTTTAATTTTTTTCTCAGATGTGTGTTTGCTCTGTATGACTTTTGGCATTAAAATTGGTATAACTACCATATACCGGCATTTATGGCCTTTTGGTAATTTTAGTCACAATTGTAGCCCGAATTCGCGGCAGTTTGAGTTTGCAGTATATAGGAACTCTCTATATAAGTCCACGTTTTGAATTAGTCCCCATATAACCGTACCCCCATAAACCTGTAATTGAAGCTAGAGGTCCACGTTTTCGTAAAACCGCATATAATCGTAACACAAGGTATTTGAAATTGTTTAAAATTTTAACGGCTTTTTATACCCTCCACCATACTATGGAGGGTATATTAATTTTGTCATTCCGTTTGTAACTCCTCGAAATACTCATGTCAGACCCAACAAAGTATATATATTCTTGATCAGCGTAAAATTCTAAGACGATTTAGCCATGTCCGTCTGTCTGTCTGTCTGTTGTAATCACGCTATCTTTCGAATAAATTGAGATAGAAGGCTAAAATTTTGCACACATGTATATTTTGTCAGTAGGCAGGTTAAGTTCGTAAATGGGCCATGTATGTCCAATTTATCATATAGCCCCCATACAACGGTACATCCCGATATTCGGTATTTTGATGATTTGACATTATTTACCGGAATTCTTTCCAATTTTGCATTTGAAGTTTGCAATGGACACTACAGGCTAAGACAGAAAATTGTCTGTGCAGGTCCACGTCTTCGTGTACCCCCTGATATTCGGTATTTCGATGATTTTAGCGACATTGTTTACCGGAATCGTTTCAAATTTGGTACTTGAAGTTCGTAATGGATACTACATCCTGAGTCAAAAAATGAGCTATGTAGGTCCACGTCTTCATATAGCCCCCATATAACGGTACCTCCCGATATGCGGTATTTTGATGATTTTAGCGACATTATTTAATGGAATCGTTCCAAGTTTGGTATTTGAAGTTCGTAATAGATACTGCAGCATAAAACAGAAAATGGGCCATGTAGGTGCACGTCTTCGTATAGCCCCCATATACCGTACCCCTCGATATTCGGTATTTTGATGATTTTAGCGACATTATTTACCGGGATTGTTTCAAATCTTGCATGTGAAGTTCGAAATAGATACTTCAGTTCGAAATGGATACTTTTTTGGGAATTGCCAAATTTGTACCAAATGGTGGAGGGTATTAAAAGTACGGCCCGGTCGAACTTACAGCTTTTTTACTTGTTAATCTTATTTTTTACATTTTGTAATTTCTTCGAAATGAAGGAGTGTATTAAAAGTTCCGGCCGGCCGAACTTAGCTGCTTGTTTACTTGTTTTATACCCTTCACCATACATGTTATTGTAATCACGGTAGAGTAAAAACGAATAAAAATAGAAAGTTAAAATTTTGGCCAGATCAGACTTTTGTCTGCAGGTAGGTTAAGTTCGAAGGTGAGCTATATTGGTCCACGATATCGTATATCCTCATATAACGGAACCGCCCGATATTCGATATTTTGATGACTGTAGCCAAAATTTTTAATGAAATTGTCTGAAATTTTTAATTATTTTAGCTATATTTCTCAATAGAATTGTCTAAAAATCCATACTAGAAGTTCTTTCCAAGCACTTTACCCCTGGAAGAGAAATGCCTATATAGGCCCACGATATCGTATAGCCCACATACAACGGTATCCACCGATATTCGATATTTTTATGATTTATCGGGCATCATCCGGTGGAGTTGTTTCAAACTTCGTACCTAGAATTCTTATTAAGTGCTACAGCCTATGACAAAAAATTGCGTATTCAGGTCCAAGTCTTCGTATAACCTCCATATAACAGTACTTCCCAATATTCGGTAATTTGATGATTTTAGCGGCATGGTTCACCGGTGTTGTTTCAAATTTCGTATTTAGAATTCGTAATGGGTACTACAGTCTCTGACAGAAAATTGTCTATGCAGGTCCAGGTCTTCGTATAGACCCAATATAACGGTCGTTCAGATTAAATGAGTTTCAGATATACAGAAACTTTACGGATAATTGTGGTGTTGTAGGATAGCCCGACTGTAGCCTTTGCTTACATGTATTTTATATGAAATTATTTACTGCGCTATATATATAGAAATAAAAAAACAAACAAATTATGTTTTTTATATATTTTTTTTTAATTCTAAAACATATGTATACTTTGTTGTACGTTTTATATAGAGCTTGGCCAACTTTTTTTCAAACAAATATAACTGTTGTGTTTCCATATCAACAACAATACTACAAATAATAATTCTTAAAATAGAAACAATAAAAACAATGAAATATGTGATACTATTCTATTTGTGTTGGACTTTGTATTCTACTTCTTTTTCTATTTTCCTAAAATAAAATTTCATTTAATATTTCTAAAGCACTTAGAAGACGAAGTTATGTATATAATATCCTTGAAAGGATTTTCCATTGTTATGTGTTTCTATTCGTTGTTTTTTTTCTTCTTCTTTAACATTCAAATAAGATAAACAAATACAATAAAGGAATAGAAGTGCCAAAAATATATATGGGCATATTTTTAAATATTTCCTGGAATAGTTTGAACAACATCTACAAAAATTTGAAAAAATAAATTTTATATTTGAAACAATTAAAAATATAAATAAATCCTAACTTATTTCTACAAATTAAGCAATGCATCACCGCACAGTGATTCGGAATTTAATTCTCTGGTTGACTTTTCAATTTTCTTTGTCATATATTTCTTGATTATATATTAAATTCGATTGTACACATATACTGGGACATCTCGAAAAATGGGTTAAAAATTGAAAAAATAATGTGTGACTTGCCTCCAAAAACAAATATATATTTTCCTTTTTCTGAAAATAGAGTTTTACAAATAACAAAAAAAAAAAAAAATAACCATTTCGAAAACAGTTTACATTTTCAAGTTTCAAATTATAAAATGTACATTTAGTATCCACCAATTAAATGTTAAGTACCAAATTACAGAATCGTGTTTATTTGCCAAGAGGTCAGGTGAAAATGTGCACCTTCAGTTGGCCACCAGAATTCAAGCGCCGGCCATGTTGAAGGTGTGGCCCGCTCTCAGCTCGTATTATTCGACCGTGGCATCAGAGTAAATGCCGAATATTATAGCGAAAATATTCTGGAGGGTGTATTAAAGCCTTGGGCACGCAAACTTTTTGACCCCTGACCTTGGATATTCCAACAGGACGCAGCACCATCGCGCTCAACACGCGGCACCTACGAATGGTGACAAAATAAGGTTCCTCGCTTCATTTCCAACGCACAATGGCCACCAAAATCTCCGGATACCAATCTGTTGGACTATTGTGTCTGGAGTATTTTGGAAAGCAAGGTGGGCACTAAAAATACCAAAGTTTCGATCACCTCAAGCAAGCGCTTCACCGGAAATTGACCAAAATACCCATAGCAACATTCGGACAGCGTGTGACGGTTTCTTTGGCCGTTTAAAGGCCATAATTCATGCCAATTTGAACAAATCTAAGCTTATTCTAAAATTTTATGATTTTTCCTATATTTTTTGTTTTCATTCAATAAAATTTAAAAAAGTGTACAAATTACGACATTTGACTTTCTTGCAGGTTTTTTCTCACCCTGTATTGTGCACCCAATGTGTAATGTCAGTCCGATTCGATTGAGTTTTAGCACACACGAAACATGTTTTTTAGATGAATAAATTAGAGACATGTGTAAAATTTTACCCTCCTCTTACTTTGTTCGAAAGATAACGTAATTAGAACAGACAGGTGAAAGGACATAGTATTTTACGATGATCAATAATATGTATACTTCGTAAAATCAATCGCAATTTTTTGGAAGATTTGCAAACGGAATGACAAAGTTAAAATTCCTGCATAATATGGTATACAAATATAGCTAATCGTTAAAAAGTTAAAATATTTTGACAAAAAGCGATTTTGAATCAGCACCAAGCTTTTGTATTGAAGATTGTCACCACATTTTCATATGTTTTTTGTTTAATATTTCATTTAATTCCGAAGGACGCAAAGATTTTTTAAAGAATTTCTCAAGGTGAACATTTAAAAAAAAATGCATCTCCCCATAATTCGAATATTTCTTGATAAGTTATTATCCCCAAAAGAAATGTCCCACCTTCAAACATAGAACGTCGTCATGTACAGTTTAATAAAATATACGTTTGGTTTTTATTTCATTTTCACCTATTCAAGTGGTGACAACACAAGAAGAGGTACAAAAATTCCGCGTTAGATTTGCAAAGATATATCACTATTTTTGTTTATTTTTCATTGGATAATACATCTTTTTCAGATGCAATTTTAAACATTCTAAGTGTAATTTGTGAATTCTATTTGTTAATCGAAAATTACAATTGTAATTCGAATTATTTCAGTGAAAAGTTCGAGAATTCAAATTTTTATTCGCATTAATCTAATTGTAATTCGAATTATTTCATTTAAAAATCGAAGAAAAAAATTAAATAATTTGAATTTTAAATGAAACAATTTGAGTTACTATTGGAATAATTCGAATTACAATTGGAATTCTCGAATTACAAATTTTACAAATTAAACCAAAAATTATTCGAATTACAACTGAAAAGGGTGTAGTATATTTTTAAAATATTTCACATAACAAAAAATTATTATTATTGATATATGTAACCAATAAAAATAATTTTATTTACAATCCATTTTGTAACGCTATTTATTCTGCGTATACATATCAACCTCGTTACACATCCACTCAAAAAGAAAAACACCTATTACACAATAAATTTCTCCATCATTTTTCTCACTTACCAATAAACAGATATCTTAAGGCAATGACACTTTGAGTTTTCAAAAAGACAAAGAAGAAGGAAAAAAAACAAATATTTCTACACGCAATGCCGCCTAACAATGAATTACATTCCTAACCATATATCTTGTTATCGTTACTCTTGCAGGTATCTTCCGAGGAAACACAATACATTAGAACAGTTGACAATTTAATTGCGTCGAGACTGAGTCTAAAAGTGCAATTGCAGTCGGTACACTTTGCTGCTGCATCAGCCTCTGGCTCCAATGCTGGCAGCAGTAGTAATTCACACATGATAAATGCCTTGGGTCCTGGCAGAACAACGTATGCCGGTGGCTCTAATGCCGGCGCCACAGGGGGTGCTTTGCTGCTGCGTTGTACAGCACAAATTGGTGATTTGTATCAGGAATATAAAGAAATTGAATTAGGAACACCACAAAAGGATCCAATACCAGCCAGAGGTAAGTAATGTTCGTACAAAGTAGTCCGGGATGGTTTTTCATGTGCTTGTAAGTAACACTATTTATGTACCAAACTTGTCGCCGAGATATGTCCAACAACAGCACCATATGTGTTACCAAGCTAAGTATGTGGGTGTAAATGTGTATAACTATGAACGTACAACCTACAATTGGGAATTGCAACACTTATAATTCGATCTCCTGGGTAGATGAAGTTGGTGTTTATTTTTATTTCCAATTTCAAGTGTCCAATGCGATTTAGTACCGGTGTAAGTTACAGTTGTTGTTATTTTTGTCAAAGCAGTTTTTTCTGGTAGACATAAAATACAATTTATTACCATGAAAATGTGTATATTTAATTATTCCAGAAAATGTATATAATGGCCTATATACAAAAGAATATTGTCTGTGTTTTGAAACCTATATATATTGACTCTTCTACAATGGCAGAAGAAATTTAACTTTCATACCTAGACTTGGGTGATTTGAGGTAAGGGAACAATAACATCCACATTGCATCAGTGATATGCTCCATAAGTATTCCATACGTCCTTTGCCTTGGAGAAAAAATTAATTTTGATGTTTTCATTTTGAATTGCTTAAACAAAAATTATACAAACACTGTCCTCGGAAAATTTAGCCAAGTTTCTGTTGGAAAAAACCAATATATAGAGTATTTTTATCCCTAATTATTTTCCATATCCACACTTTTGGAATAAAAGTATAATATATAAACAAGTAAGCAAAGGCTATAGTCGTGCGGGCCGACCATGTGACCCTACAACACGTTAGAAGCCCTCTTATGTCCTAATCCATTTTGGAAGATTTGAAACTATGTCACGCAGCACTGCGCAGATATTACACTTAGCATTTTGAACAGGGACATTTGCCCAATATTTACGAACTATGTCGTGTTGTTAGTTGTTGTGCAAAAATGCTAGAATTCTTCCCTGTCCTTATCGCTCTTCCCAGGCATGTCGAATGGCTCTAATTGTGTATCAGGATTTTTTTCTGTTTTTGGCTCATTTGAACCATCTCCAAAAGCAAGAGGCCCTCTGAATCTCCAAATTTAGACTCATCTATACGATTTTCTTGTCTACAATATTTGGCTATCGTCGGATATCGCATGTAAGTAATGCTGGTATTTTTTGCACAAACTAGTGGTCCATTCTACCTAGAGTCCTAAACTCTAACTTCATGCGAGATTTTGTATCCTTTGATTTCTATTTGTATTATAACGGCTGCAAAATCAGGAACATTTTTTGTTGGTCAATTTCAACCCGTAAATATATTGCGGACATCTTTGAAAACAATAGGCCTAGCCATTCTGAGCCTAACCCTACCCTTTTCGTGAGGATCGGATGATAATTGCAATATATATATAATATCCCCAACCTGTGTTGTAAAGTGAAAAAATATTACAAAATATACACTTTAATATTATAAGTCAAATTGAAAAAATCGCATGCGATAAAAAATATGAAAAATGAAAATATGTCACAAAACACTAAAAAATCTATATTAACATCATTATAGGCGCCTTTTCATGCGTTTTTTTTAGATTTTTTCCCTTTATGCCATAAGCGCATTCTGCATTGACAAAATTTGAAATATTTACTATCGGCATCTACGTAACGGTCAGGATTGACCTGTTCGCCTATTTGTGATTTCACCGGGATTAAAAATATTCGCGGTTTAATGGAAACTTTGATTTTATTTAACTCAAATGTCATAGCCTTTTTCTCTCACTAAATATTACCCGATGACCATCAAAATTGGAAGGCTTCTGCCCAGCCCTAAGCTCTAGCCCCATGCTAACTTCCGCGTCGATTGGTCTATAATTGCGACCTGTAGAGCAACTGCAAAATCAGGATTTTTTTCAGTTTTTGGTCAATTTCAACCCCTAAAAACTATGCGATCATCTCCAAAAGAAATAGGGTTCTATTCTGACCCACCTTCATTCTAAATTTCGTGAAGATCGGAACATAATTGCGACCTGTAGAGTGATTACAAATTAACATATACAGACGGACGGACGGACATACATAGCTAGATCGACTCAGCTCGGCGAGATAGGAGGATCTATATATACTTTCCTATGTGGGAAACCAATATTTCGAGGTGTTACATAATTTTTGGCCCAATCAAACTTATAATACCCCCAACACATAGTGTTGTAGGGTATAACCATTATTATAATAATTGTAAACCCCTGCAAATTTAGCGAATTTCTGTTTATATCACCAAAACTAGAGAAGGTCTTAGAAAACTAACAATTAATGCAGATAATTAATTCTTAAAAAGTTTAAAATGACATATGGAACTCTTAAGATGTCGTCGTATATTAACTACATTGGTTAATGTTCATTTATAGCTGAATATACCTGTTATTGTAGTATTATAGGTTATTTTGAGGAGTTATAACGGGATGACAAAGGTCACAATACTTTGTACATACAGTGTATACCCTTAGCCATATGGCTACAGTGGGTATATATCATTTGATACGGGCAAAATGTGTCTCATTGAAACAACCGTTTTAGACCTTTTGGGCCAAATCAGTTTCAGAACATTTGCAGTCAATTTAGGGGTGAACGTCCTTCCGTTTGTCTAGCTGGCTGGTCCGCAAGACAACTCTCGAAGGGAGTGTCCGATTTGGTTCAAACTTGGTACATCATAATAATGCTATAAAACTTAGATCAATTTAGGAGATGAGCACTATCGGTTCACTCCTTTTTGTATTTCTCTCGCAAAATGTCTAAAATTTCACAGAAAATTTTTCTTTATATTTCGCATATCCCAATATTTTTAACAACTCTAGGTCTGGTATGCAGATGGGACAGGACAGATGTTCATTCTGGTACCTTACTACAAAGGATCAACATTTTGAATAACTGTCAAGCTCATGAAACGCGAAATGAAAATCCGATTTTTTCCAACTCGGCACATCTGTATATTCCAATCAACACAAGATGTGATGTTAAAATATCATTTATCAGACCACTCCTTCAGTTATCTCCACACAACGGATCAAAATTTTGAATTATTTTCTCTCTCAGAAAAAAAACCAAATTCAAATATAGGTTTATACCCTGGCCCTAACCCTGACTCAGTGCAAAATATTATTTGATCAGGGCCATACATACGATCTATAGAGGGATTAAAAATTAACAGGTATTGTAAGAATTTTAAAAATTCATAAACCATGGTGCTGGGATTCAAGACGAACCCCAAGCATCCACTTCTTCAAAAAAATGTCAAAAATGACAAAATGTCAAAATGTTGAATAAACACAATTCTCATAAATTGCGAACATATTCATCAATTTTCATGAAACCCTTATTAACGACAACAAAATTGGAACAATTCTGAATCCCTTATTCGCACAGATCTAAACTTTGGACATCGTAAAATTGTAATTACATATAGAGTAGTAGAGTATGCGGAATATATAACTATTTTTCTGCTACCTACTTCCCAGGGTCAAACATAAGGGTCGGTGTATGCGGGAGCTATATTCAAATCTCAACCGATTGACTCCAATTTCAATATCGTTCTTCCATATGCCAACAAAAGCATAGTTCTGTCAATGCAATCGGACAATAAATGCAACCTGTTATTTGTTTTAGAAAAATAAAATGTTCACTGTTTAATTGTTGATGTGTAAGATGGTATATGTACATTCAGAGCCGGTATGGTACATTCAGAGCAGCCTACAAAATTGTTGTATTTATTGTCAGAATGATTGAAAGATTGCCTATATATTAATCTTAAAATTATTGTCCATTTTTTGCAAGTTATTTGGTATATTAACATATTTTCGCTTCAATGGCGGATATTTTAAACAGGTATTTATCATTCAAGAGGTTGTCTCCGACAAATTCAGGGCCATCTACGTAATTCCTGTGCTCATTTTCAGAATGGGTAAAATATTTTCTATCCATAAATCTTGAACATATTGTACATTATATATATATTCGAACATTCACATATATGAATGCGTAATATGTGAATGTGTGAATTAAAAAAAAAAAATAAATTATTTTGATTTGCATAGGGGATTACACCTACCTACACTAAAACGAACATTGATAACTTCCATGAGACTGGTAAATGGACAGACAAGATATGCAATAGATTACATATGGGGGTTCATTAGTTGTGAGTATTGTATGGGATGTCGTTAAGCATAAAGATTTAATCCCTTAAGTTATTTATAAAATAGCATATAAAGTTACAACTACAAAAAAGTTTTAGGTATGGGAGAAAATAGCAGAGTGTATCTTAAATGGTGAACGCTTATCTGAGGCTGAATGAGACAAAACTAAGATTTTTCCCTTATCGAATAATCCACTATCAAAAAACAATAAATTAAGAATCACATTCACTATAAATAATATTTTATATTGCAATAATAGATATTTGAAATCGCCAAAGAGTAAAATTGTAGGTCGATTTAACGATGTGAACTTACAATAGTAAATATTTAATTCAGAGAGGCCTCAAGGTCTAAGGTATTTCGCTGGCGGACTCTATAACGTTTCCAATCCATTTTTGTTTCCAATTACACTAGGTAAATTTTAAGGACAACAAATGAAAAAGCCGTAAGTTTGGCAGGGCCGAACTTGGAAAAAACCCTCCACAATTTGGAACATTTTCAAAAAAATAAAATAAATGAAAGATAGGATTCGTTATAAATTCTGTTAAATCTTACAAATACCGTATAGGGAGCTACGGTTATTTTGGGGTCTATACGAAGACGTGGACGTGCAATTTTCTGTCACAGGCTGTAGTACCCATTACGAAGTGAAAATACGAAATTTTAACGATTCTGGTGAATAATGTAGCTAAAATCATCAAAATACCGTATATAGGAATGTACCGATATTTATTGGCTATACGAAGAACTGCTTAGACAATTTTCTTTCACAGGCTGTATTTCTCATTAGGAACATCAAATACGAAATGTGAAACAATTCCCCTGAATAAAGTCGCTAAAA